CCCCCCCCAAAAAAAAAACAATTTCTTCGAGCAGGGGACAGGTCTTAAAATATGCATTAAACACATTATACAAGTTTTGACTTCATTAACACTAGAATATACTTGGCAAATCAGGTAGGAAGAATCACACATACATGTTTCCTCTTCATCGCTTGACTCGTCTTCGTCGGTAGGAACCTCCTTCTCAACCTCTTTGCTAGCCCAGAGATATATAGGGAAGTTGATGAATTCAGAGTATTTCTTCACCAGGTCCTGGATTCAAGGTAACCCGTGCATTAAGCAAAGTAGAATGCCTCAACAGAAGCTTCAGAAACATAATATTATTTCAGAGACAGAAAATGTGTTCATAGGAACTCTTATTTTCAATTTAATCTGGTAATTTGAACTGGAAAATAATCAAAATTTGGAACAGGATATTTCAGGATAGATGCTGATTATAAGTACCTAGATTTAAAAATACAAAATCTTAGTCAACAGAATCAGAGGTCGTGTTTCTTTTCTCTAACTCCAATAATTTATGTTAACTCCACACAGACACAAAAGCAATAGGTTGGATATGCAAAACAGAAACAACTTATCACAGACTTCTACTTTTAACTAACAATTCATCCATAAGCTTAATTCTCTCAACCATTGTAATCCAAGACTAATAAAATATAAAGTAATTGGTCCTTTATTTTTTCGGTTAGACTGCACACTTTCAATCAAAGGTCCAACTGATCAAATAATCCTAACTAAGGGAGCAGAAAAAGTCATATAAGAAAATAAACTAGAATTAGCTTCTAAGTTAATGGGTCTCAAAGGTTTGCAGCCCTTTACTGCCCTGGTCTTCTGATGTCCTCAATATTGCCTTGGAAAATTTTTTCTTGTCTTCTTAATATAATCTAATAGATAATGTGGGAAAGAAAAGAATTGATAAATCCCAAGGTTAAGATTGTTTATTTCCATTTATTTCAGCATTAAAGTATATTATGACCTACTGTGCAAAAACCACTGTCAGAATGGAAAACAAAATTACTCTAAATGACTGGTTAACTATTAAAAGTTTTGGCATGCACCAACTCATGATATATGAAAAGAGTCTCCTTGGGACGTATCGGTCACACACACCTTTAGTTTGTACTCGTCCAAATATTCTCCTGCTTCATCTCTAAGGTGCAATCTAATTTCAGTTCCACGACCAAGAGGTTCATTCCATACATCTTCAGAAATGGCAAATGCCCCATCAGCCTTTGACTCCCAGACATATCTGAATGCAGATATTTGTTAAATCACTAATAAAATTCCCATTACATCAATAGTCATTAATCAACACATTCACACAAGAACGTACTGTTTGTCATCGTTATGCTTGCTGATGACCTCAACATAGTCAGCTACAAGATAGACCGAGTAAAACCCAACACCAAATTGTCCGATCAGATTAAGGTCTCCACTTGTCTGCATCTTCTCAACAAAGGCTGTTGAGCAATAACAAGTTAGTGAATAATCAAGAGAACTCCAAGAACACTGACAATCTCGTACCCAGCAGGTAGATTACCTGAAGTTCCAGATTTAGCTATGGTTCCCAAGTTCTTTATTAAATCCTCCTTAGTCATTCCTATACCTCTGTCACGAATGGAAAGAATTTTCTTTTCTTTATCCAGTTTAATCTGCAATCAACAACACAAGCATCAGAATAGCTTTTCAAAAGAGCAACTTCCTCGTACGTTCAACCAACAGAATCTATGAAAACTATAGATACAATTATACAAATCACCAACCTGGATCTCAAGCTTAGTGTTTTCACCTTCCCCAAGTACCTCCTTGTCAGTAAGTGACAGGAATCTAATCTTGTCCAGCGCCTGAAAGAAATAGCATATTAGCTTAGAAGAAATAATTAACACATCATGTCAAACATCACCAAAAGAAATTAAAAAGCACGCTCACGTCTGATGCATTCGAGATCAGCTCCCTCAAGAAGATGTCCTTGTTACTGTAAAGGGAGTTAATAATAATGTCCATAAGCCGAGACACCTCAGCCTGGAACTCAAATTTCTCCGCATCAGCTCGCAGAGTTTTCCTTGACATAGACTCCGATTCCCTGGATCACATAATGATATAGTGCTCAGTACTATGAACATACAAAGAAGTTGAAGGCACGGAATAAGGGCAAAACAAACGAATGAATCAACAATTTGGAAACCTTTTAACAACATCAGAATCGGTTGATAAACCGTGTGGAATAGCACCAAATTTTTCCTCAACCTTTGGCGGATCAACAGGGACGTCAGATTCAGCTTCCGCATTTGCTTGTATCCTCCGACCTATTGAGTAAATAAATCAGGCTTCCGAATAAAGCAGTAATAACTAATATCCATGTTCCACTAAACAATTCAATTAAACATTCATTCAACTACGTAATTCCTTAGGCAATCATGTCATCAAAATTTCAAGGCAGCTCCAGACCAAAAATGCCTCAGAAAATTCAACCCCGAGGTAACTTTATTATCTAACTATTTAAAAAACAATTTACAGTCTTAAACACATAATGAAATAAAATTCCATAAGATCTCAAGACAAATGCTGATTCGAACACTATAAAGTATTCATTCACGTCAAGCCATTTGTTGTTCGGATTCGTTAAACATATAATGGCTAGAGCATAATAGAGCTAGATCTCTATTTACTATAATGGAAATGGAAATGGAAATGAAAATTTCAGGTAGCTAAAGATAAACCCTACGTTACCTTGATCTGGAAGAAGGAACAAAAGGCATAACAGAAACAGGACGGAAGGGATCGTCCACTTCCTCATTTGTATACAGTCGATGGGTTTCACTCTCTTAATGAAAAAGATTTTGAATTTGGATTCCGAATCGCACTATTTTTAGTGAGTGACTAATATAGTGAGCTTGTCGCCGTATGTGTCACGAGTTCGATACGGATTGATCGGTTTCGCCAGCGTGGATGATCCGACGGTTATAGTGAGTTCTGTTATACGTGGCGTGCTTTTATTGGTTTCTGTCGCCTCATGAGACGTGGAGGAACACCTTTGTTCTGGAAGACTCTATAGGTCAACACGAAGGAAGACCTGGTTTCTATCTGGTACGATGAGGTCCATACAATAGATCTTAGTTAGATAGCCAATAAGGAATTATTTACCGTAGGACCTATGTCTGATAGTCACGTGGTTTCTTTCATTGCCAAGTGTGAACGGTGTAAGGCCAATAGTCAAGAGCATGGGTGTTCGTAAAAATCCGAAAACCCAAACCAAATCGAAAATCAAACCAAACCAATCAAAAAAATTGATACTTTTTGGTTTGATTTGGTTTTGGTTTTGAAATTTCAAAACCGATCAAATTTGGTTTGGGTTTGGTTTTGGTTTTAATTAAAAAAACTGAACCAACGAATATAGGAGTAGTTATTTTAAATTTATTATTACACATATATATATGTATACTTTTATACAAAGTTTTAAAAATTTTATAGTAGATATTAATCGTTTGCACTTTTAGTACAATTTTTTACTTTTACATTCTAGTTTAATTATTCATCACTATTTGATTCAATTATCATCAATATATCTTGGTAAATAATAGATTTCTCAAAGATCAATTGATTTGATAGTGTTACGTTGAAAATGTGGTCGCCGAAATGTGTGTTTGGTAGTGTATGTCTTATATTTAAGAAAAAACTGCAAAATAACCGGAAAAACCGACATAAACCGAATCGAGAAAAAACTGACTTAATTGGTTTGGTTTGATTTGGTTCTAATATTTGAAAAACTGACTTACTTGGTTTGGTTTCTTTTTAGGGAAAAACCGATCCAAACCGATCCATGAGCACCTCTAGTCAAGAGAATGAAGTCATGAACTAACGCCAATTATTTTCGTTTTTTAACTTGGAACATTCTTTGCGTTTAAGGTCTATGTAATAATTGTTCAAAAATATTCATATAATCAAATTACTAATATAATTAGTGTAGTTAAATTTTATTATAAGCTAATATTAGCATAATAAAATATCTGTTGTAATAGGTTAAAAACAATGGATTGTGAAATTTTTTTACAATGTCATTGTATATAACTTAAGATATTCTACTTATCATAATCTGCCTATTAATTCTGCAAAATTATACAGAAAAGTCTGTCATTAATTTATTATTCTTCTTTTGTTGGAAGATGTTGAAGCAACCACTATTTCTCCGTTAGGATAGGCGTAAATGTGGGATGTTTTATGCATCGGGCTGCCTTTTTTATGGAAGAAAATGTAGAATCGCGTAGGGTAGGTTATTTACATCACTTTTGGGGATGCGACTATTTCCCGGATCCTACGTAAATGCGGAATGCTTTACACACCGGGCTGCCCTTTTTATCGGCGAAGATGTAGAATCACGTAGGCCGTAGCGGATTAGTGACCTGGTTATCTTGGTTGCATGATAATCTAGAATATTAATAGAACAGGATAAAGACGAGACATTCTTCTAAATTTCTATGGTGTAAATGAGAGATTACAGTTACATGTAAGTTTTCTGTGGTAGCAACAACCTATGAAACTTGACGAGAATAACAAGTTAAAACAACATTTGGAACCAATGAAACCTAAACATCTACTCTTCTTTGGCCAAGTCATCTCAAGAAGCATATTACATTCAGAAATCATGTCTTTATTCAGCTATATCATGCCCCTAACCACAAAATCAATAAGGCTCTCCTCCTGCCTTGAATTTACCTATTGCTGTAAAGACACTTATCCCATTAGAGAAAAACAAGATCCATTAAGTTTACTTCCACGATGGTGGATGAAGTTTAAAAGGGTAAGGCTCCCAACCACCATCCGGTTCTTTGCGTTTCTCACCAGCAAGTGAACTGGTTGAGGGTTGTGAGCTGGTCCTTAAGTGTTCATCCATCGACCTGGCTTGACCCTGCGTGAAAAACTGCCTCAGACCTCCAAGGTCTCTATTTCCTCCCTCAAATATCAAACTAGTGTTGAGATCCAGACCACTCTGTGGTGGCAGGACCCCATTTGAAACAGGTGCACCAGCCATGCTTATAATGAATGGTTGTTGAGCGAATGATGGTGGTATTGCTGAAGCAGAGCCAGCAAATTGAGGTACCATAGGCGCACCTCGGGAATCTACCATGTAAGGAATAGGGCCACCGGGTCCATACATTGCTGAGGAGAACGGGATGGGAGGACCTGGTACAATGCTATTGTAACCAAAGGTGGGTGAAGGGGTATATAGAAATGGAGATCCCATTCCCAAGACACCTCCACTTCTTGCAACAGTAAGATCAACTGTATTTTCTGCAGTCCTGCCATTTGGAAATGGAAAGAATTGAGGAACATCTTCACGTTTGACCTCTACCTTCATGCCCATAATGGATACTACAGAATTAGCCGATTTTATCCCTCCGGATGCGCTAATATTTTGAGATGGTTTCTTGAAGTAAGATAGATCTGAAGAATTGTTGAGAAACGACGGTTGGTCATTTAGATCAAAGTTCCGTGATGAAAGATGCTTGGACGACGATGATGACGATGGAGATGGACTCCAATGGCCATTCCTATCCGACAAAATCCTTCCCTCCATGCGCCAATCTGAAGGTGCCTCACCCTCCTCACTTGCACAGTTGAGATCCAACTCCACTCTTTCTGATTTTCTGGAGCTAGCTTCAACGGAAGATTCCCCTGAAGGAAGTGCAGATGGTAACGGAAGTTTGACAGTGAAAAGTTCTGCAGATTTGTCATTTCCACCTTCAGCTACATTAAGATCAATATCAAGCCAACCTTGCTGTTGCTTTTTGCTGCTGTCATTCCTACTCCCACCAGAGAAAACAGCCTTGGCACTTTCAGGAACCCGGCGAGACGATGCTGGCCGAAATGCACTGGTTGAAGCGGATCCTTTCCATCCAAGAGCCCCTTCAAATTCCAATGGAGCAACAGGCATCCCAGGGGCAGCTGTTGCCTTCGAAGCAGAAACAACAGAGATGCAGGTAGATATGGGATCTNCAACATGATCTATATCGTCTGAGCAAACCTCTAGATTCAGATCAAAATCACACTGGCCCTTCTCAGCATTGGCGTCAAGATCAGTACCCTGAGAGGATTCCACCTTTACTTTTTCATTTTTAGGTCCAGCTTCAGAGTTTGTAATTGAAGCCTCCGTCAAAAGAGCCATTCCTCTTAGTACTTGCTTCTTAGAGCTCTCAACTTTTTGGCATTCTTTTGCACTCATAGAATCAGCGCTATCAGGCTCATGAATTTTACTTTCCTGTATTTTCTCAGAACTGCAACTCTGAACTTCTCTCTCCACCTCTATGGCAACTTGTCGAGCAACTTCCAGAGGATCTATAATGCCATAATCGAATTCAATATCACATTTCTTACCAAACACACCAGAGTCTTTACTAACTGTTCGTGGTTCTCCAAATTCAGAGTCACTTTCCGAATCATCTTCACTTTCATCAGTGACCTGCTTGTCATCCCCATTAATGAGATCTACCTTTGACAAAATAGCTCCTAAATCTTTGGGACATTCCAGACTATGCTCGCTGGAGGAGTTGTGCAATCTGTCGATGTTGTATTTTCTGTCTTTAGCACCAAGCACCATGGAACTTCTGCTATGATTTGTAGGTCTGCTGCTATCATCCATCAACGTCTTTCCTTCAGAAATCACCACCGATGCATCATCAGAAGGCGATTTTCCTCTGCAGCTAACTTCATCCTTGATATCAGTTTGTCTTTGTAAATCTGAACCATTGCCAGCATCTGAAGTGTCTCCTGCATCAGTACCTGAAGAACTAGTTTTCTCCTCCAATGGTTTCGACGACGCCGAGTCTAACTTCTCAGAACTTCTTCCTTCTTGAGTGTGGTTTGAACAATTAACAGACTCCAAAACGGGAACCCCTGTCTGCCGATCAAGAGCACCATGTGATAAACTTGCAGAACTGCACGTATCAATTGCACTGATCGTCTCTGCATGATATGTTGAGGATTCTACCTTCTGATCTTCACCAACAGGCTTTAATAGAGGAGACAGCGGATGCCCATCCTTCACCGTTGAATGCTCCAAATTTTGGTCAGATGTCTTGGTATCGTCAACCCCAGAAGAATTACCAACATCAGACCTTGAAGATGGCATAATATTATTGCTAACATTTTCCTCACACTTCTCTCCAGAACCCCCACCAGAAAGAGAGACGTTCTCCGGAGAAGGTTCTGACTGTTCATTTTCTCGGACGACGTTTTCAATTACTCTCGTCCCACCATCAACTATCGTCTGTGGTATTTCACAACCGACTGAAACTGCATCATTATTTTTTTCTCTCTCCCAATTATCAAACAGTGCACGAGCCCTCTGTTGCACCTTAGAGCTCTCATGGTCAAGGAGGCTTTTCACAGTAACCCTGATTCCAGAAGAAACTGATTTCTCAAAGTCTACATGAAGCCTTTCAACCGCTACCAGTAACCGAGTGATCAACTCTTCCACGTTGTCACTCGTTTCATCAACAAAATTCTGAGCATCCTTTAACCAACTGTCAACAAAGCAGAGTCCATCTAGCTGGATAAAGAGTTCAAGACACTCTTTATTCTCAGTTGCAGCAATTGCGCTAGCAACAGCAGACCATTGCCTTGTTATTTCACCAGCATTCTTGACAACGCAAACTTCTTTCTGCATAATAGAGACTAGATCCTGAACTCGAGCAGGAGCTGTAAGCCCATTACTCATCTCAGTCAGGGTGAAAAAGTCCTCGAGTGTCATGATTAATTATTAACTCACAAGTTAGGACTCCCAAGAAGCAAAGTGACTCTGGTAACATGATACTACAATGTCCTTCATATCTGGAAAAGATAATGCTAACGCAGAGGACTTTCCAGCAAGCTTCCCCTGCAGAAGATTTAAAAATGACCCATAATATTAATCAGTAAATGTAAGAAATGAAGCTTTCTGATTATAAATGAAAAGTCAATTTCACATCCGATTGTCTATAACAAATAATACTGTCGGCACATGCAAAAAGTTATTGATTTGACCTAAGAGACATTTAATTTGTAATCCTTTATTGCGAAGCAACCCAGTCAAAACAAGCAAAATAGAAAGCTCAAATTTCACTACAAGATGGCACCACTAAATTATGGTTAAAATGATTCTACATCACCAAAAAGATTTCAGTCTCGTAAATACAGGACACAAATATTTTTCATTTTCTGTTCACTGATTATAATTTCTTCGCACATTGAGTTTGAGATACTAGCATATACCACAATATCAGCTACAGGAGCATCAGAACAAAAAAGAATCCCTGTTTCTGCAATTAAACCAAGTATGTTTCCTGTTGGTTAGCTGGCTGTAGAGCCCCTTCAAGCTCTTCTATTTAACCTGTAATACAGATCAGGCAAATATACAGTAAAATAAAGACTTTCTTCTTTCTTATAGTTTCACATCTTTCTCCCATTCCAGAAACTTCTTTATGTAGTGGCAGGTCCAAAAAAAACTCTTTTTACATCCAAAAGCAGAGATGTCACAAAACTTTCATAGAATGGTTAGGTATTCAATTAAAGAAATATTAGGAAAATTTGGCGTAGACTAAAATGTTACGCAACCAAAAGTAGTCCTTACAAATTGACAAAATTCTCCCAAACTAAATGCTTATGCTGCAGCTAGAAATTGGGTTGGAGACTTGGAGGAGAAGCTGTTCGGGAATCATCGACTAATGGGTTCACGAAGGTGAATAACCTTCCCATCCCTGGCGGCTGGCGCACCAAAGAGTCTAGAGTCTAGACAATCCATGGCGCACCAAAGAGTCTAGAGTGCCTCATGGCACCGGTTTATGGAAACATATTAGAGGGCATTGGAACAAATTTGAGTCAAACATGGGTTTTATTCTTGGCAATGGAAGGAAAATCAGGTTTTCGGAAGATGCATGGGTTGGTCATACGCCATTAAAAGACCAATTTTCAGATTTTTATAATATATCCTTGCATCACAATGGGGAAATTGCAGTTTTCTGTACATCGCAAGGCTTTGAGTCTTAGAAGGAATATTAATGATTGGGAAATGGAGAGGGTAGGCATCTTGCTACAAATGCTAAGCAACACTGCTTTGGACCACTATAAAATGGACTCTATCAGTTGGAAGGGTCACTCCAAGGGCATTTTTTCAGTTAAAAGCTGTTACAATATGCTGGGTTTTAGCAACAGTGAGTTATGGCCTTGGAAAAAAATATGGTACAACATGGCACCTTTAAAAATTTCTTGCTTCTCTTGGATTGTGGCTAAGGAGGCATGCCTCACGGAAAACAATCTCCAGAAGAGGGGTTTCAAGCTGTGCAGCAGATGTCCTTTATGTGAAGAACAATCTGAAGATGTTACCCATCTTTTTTTGCATTGCAAGGTTACAAATCAGCGATGTAACATGTTCTTTTCAATATTTGGTATGTCTTGGACCATGCCTAACTCCATTTCAAAAATGCTCAAGTGCTGGACCAGGGAGGGTCTATGCAAGAAAGCTCAAAAGACCCGGAACACTATTCCTCAAATTATCTGGTGGTCTGTCTGGCTTGAAACAGTACAATTTTTGAAGGCATAGGAAGAAATTTACAGTGCCTTAAGCTTAATTGCATTTTGTTGATCGTTTTTTGGTGCAAGCTGGCTTGTGCACCAGATGTAGATGATATTTTAGACGCAATTGCTGATTTGCACAACCTGTAATTACGCCTGTTGCACTGGCTTAGTGCAAATATTTATATAATATATTATTTACCCATCAAAAAAAATAACCTTCTCATCCCTCGTGCAAATTTTGCACTCAAATCAACAAATAGCATAATTTGCACATAATAAATCTTACTAGACTCATACTCATTCCAAGCCACGAACTATTGGGTGAAAAAAAGAGGTGAATAACCTTCTCATTCATGATGCAACGTTTGCATCCAAAACCACTATGAGCATCATATTCACCACATTGCTCTAAACCTCATAATCTCCAAAATTTTACGCTAATAGTTGTGGAAATGAAATCAAAATAATATTTGATAACCCTTAAAGAAGAATAGTTGAGACTGCATGCCTGTTATGTTGAAGCCATCGGCAGATGAAACTATGTCATACTATATTGGGAAAACACTTCTGAGAAATTGATGGGGAGCGGGTAACCAACTATGATACCAAACTGCTCAAAAGCTTCTCAATTGTGCATTATATGGACAATTTGGTTGGAGCAGTGTTATTAAAAGCGCTCGCTTCTTGCTTTAAGCGCTGAAGCGACACGAGGCGCAGGGCTATCGCTTTTCTGCTACAAAAGCGACTCACATTTAAAAAGTGCTCGCTTCTCGCGCTTAAGCGAGAAGCGCCTCAATGGGGAAAGCGATAAAAAAGCGTGCTTAAGCGAGCAGAAGGCATCTAATAGGGTTTTTTTTTAAAAATTTAGCAAATAAGACATCTGTTAACAGATAAACATACGCTCTTCAACGACTTCTTCTCCGGCGAACTCCAGCAACGACGAAGTCTCCAGTTCTCGATAAGTTTCTTCAACTTCTTCTTCTATTTCTGTTCTTCTTCTTCTGTTTCTGTTCTTCTTTCAAATTTTTTTCACTTTTTAAGCGCTGATTTTGTGCCCTAAACGACTTCTTCTTCTTTTGTTCTACTTTGTGCTCTGTTTTTTGCTTTATCATCCTCTTTATGCTCTGTTTTCTGGTTCGTGTGAATTAACTGTTATGTTTTTTTTTTGGTTGTTGATTGTAGTATCTATTATTTGCTTCTTGATTCAAGAATTGAAACATTTGCTTAATATGTTATTTTTAATGAGTTATTAGCCATTTATTTATGCCTATTTTTTTATTTTATTTATGTGTTAAATTGCGCTTCACATGAAAAAAAAAAAAGCGCTTCTCGCTTCGGTGAAGCGATGCCTCGTCGCTTTTTTGTGCTTAACGCTTTCCAAAACACTGGGCTGGAGAGAAATTCCGATGGAAAATAGGGCATACTTCATATGTAAAAAATTTAGCTGCCTTTTACTCTTTTTTTGGGATAAGTCCTCATAAATTTTTACTTTTGGAGCAAGCCGAGCACTTTCCATAGTGGATTTAGGTTTATCTTCATGTCCCACACGGAGGTTCGACTAGTATCCCTCTATATGGCACTAATTCGGCTGATATTACTACTACTGAAGTTTCAAGTGATATCACCGCTCTTTTTGAGCAACGAATGGAAGTGGCAACTGATTTAGAAAATCTAATGGACTTATTGCACCCTTTCAATATCTAGAAGGAGTTATTCTCTATGTTTTTACACAGAGTAGCACCAAAATTTATCAAGGCTTTAAGAAAGCGGAAACAAAGAATGGGCTTTAATGAAAAAATCTCTACTGAAGAAGAAATATAATAAATGTATATTTAGTGCAACGAAAAATTACTATAAACAAAATAATTAAATATTTGGACAAAAGAATTAAAATAACTATACTAAATGAAATATATGAAGTAAAAATCACATCAGTCAAGTTTACAACAACAACAAAACACCCAGTGTAATACCATAAATGGGGTATGGGGAGGGTAATGTGTACGCAAACCTTACTCCTACCTTATAGAGATAGAGAGGTTGTTTCCGATAGACCCTTGGCTCAAGGACGTCAGTCAAGTTTCAGAACCATTTTAAATTTCTGATTTATATGAAGAGATGTAGTTTTATATTTTTTTTGGAACTAGTTTTCTATGCTAATATTTTAATTAATTAATTCTTAATCACTAAAAGTTCATTCATTACGGCTTTTAATTTTATTATTTTTGACTATATTTATTGTCTAGTACTGTCCTCTCAAAGGAAGAACTTATCAGTGATGAGGCGCATGCCCTAACACCTTAGGACCTACACAAAAGCGTCACTTAAGTAAGGCAAAGTGCACAATCTAGATTTATGTGAACTTAAGCGAGCATAAAATAAGCCTTTAGCGAGACTGATTTTTACCATACCTTCGGTGTATGTATCAATAAAATTACTTTATTTTGGAAAGATAAGTATTGTCAAGCAAATGCCAAAGAAGAAAGTAATAGATAGAAGATCAATAGAGATCGAGACCAAAAATTTACAATAAGCAATCTATCAATTGACCTTCAATAGATCACATGACGTACATATAAAAACTAATAGCATGATAAAGAATTTGAACCAACGATGCTTACAAGAAGTTGTATTGTGAGGACCTTATTCAAAAGAACAGGCCATCCCACCACATAGAGGAGACCCACAGACCTATCTTCTTCTTTTTTATATGAAAGGAGATCTACAACACTATGTACGGTGGATAATGGATTCCATCATTCATTTGAAGTATGACTCTGACAAAGAAAGTGCCATAAGTATTCATATCAGGTTCGAGCCTTTCAGATCTTTCTACACTTTTTATTGTTTCATGATAAGATTTTAAAATGCATATGACATGGCTCCAAAGCTTCCTATCCAGAAATTATTTGAAACGCGAAAACATGAGCAAGTTCAAGTCTTTCGCTATTCATGTGACTCGCATCATGGTTTTCCGCACGTCTCTTAGGAAAACAATCAGTTTATGGCTGCTTTCAGTACAGCAAAGTAAGCATGTTATTACATTCCTCCATAAAAGGAAAATTGCATCCACCTCCTTCTCTTCTAGCTTTTTTTTGGTCAAGCAATGTGTAATTTTATTGATTATCGGAAATCTCCAAATACAAGAGGTATACCAAAGAGTCTCTTTCTCTTTGTATAGTAATTAGTATATTGCCCTACTTACTAATGGTTCATAAACAAAACTTTCCTGCTTCCTCATCACGACCACAAAAGGTATAAAAGAAAGAAATACAAAAAAGGTGACTTGAGGATAGAAAGAGAAAAGAAAAGCCGGGGGGTCGAATGAGGCTCACTAAATCAGTATGCATTTACACTATCATTCCAAAACATCAAAACCTTATACATCAAAATCGACAATTGTTCAACTGAAAGAATAACCAGTAAAATGCCAAAAAAGGTCCATTCACAAATTTGAACAGATTGGCAGGTATAAATTTAATACTGTTAATTTTTAATACTAACAAAAAGATGCAGGAAGCAGCGAAATACATATATCAACCAATAATAAAAACAAAAACTTGTTATCACTTGAACTTACCAGACTCTCATGCCCCTTTAATCAAGCTGGAAACTTGCGAAAAAACTGAAACTTCTAAAATCCCTATAAATAAATGGCAGTAATGTCAACCTGAAAAAACAAAATTTCAAAACACAGAAATGAGTTCCAAAACCTCAAAAACTAAGCAGTAGAGTTGAATAACAACGGAACAGCAAATAAATGAATTGAGATTACAGATTAAACAAAAGGGAAACAGAAAGAAACTCAAGCCCTAAAACAATTTCAACTTGAACCATAGAAAATTAGCTAACCCCAGAAACAAAAACCCTATATAAGAACTTGGGTCAAGCCTAAAATGCTTAAAGATTATATCTTTAGACTAAAAAGAACCAATTTTGATTATGTCAATTAATGCAAGCAAGATTGAAAATTAAGCAACCAAAGAAGCAAAATATACCCATAATTAAAATTCTTTCACAGTAACTGCAGTTAAGTAATAAATTCCAAAGCAAAGAACTTTACCTTGGTCAGAAAATGGAGAAAACCCTAACTGGGTTTGCACTTTGAAATCCCAAAAAGTTTAAATTTTGCTATATTTTTCAGACACCCAACACTCTCTTTAGGCAAAGAAATTCCTTATCCTGTTTGAATTTTCATAAATGGGTGTCTAAATCTGTATTCAGAACCACTGTTTCTCTTCTTTGTCTTTCTGTATTTTTTTCACAACAAAACCCTGCTTTTTCCCACCTTCGAAACAACGTTTTCTTCGGAGTCTTGTTTTTTCCTTTTTTTTTTTAAATTTTTTTAGCCAATTCTCTTTGTTAGTATTACGATTTTTTTTTTCTTTTTTGGGGTTTGTTTAGCTGGGTTCGCTGAACTACAGTTTGCAATGGGGAAGCAACACGTGCCACACGTGCCAGATTTCGCAGGCCAACCCGGAAAGTTACGGGTCGGGTTGAAAGCAACCGAATTGACAACTGCTGAAGTGGGGTCCTTTTTCTATGAAGATTTTTGTGATGGTAAAAGGATGGCGGTAGTCTTGTCTGAAAATTAAAGGACCTTATTGGTGTTCCCACCACTGACACGTCCCATGACACGTGTAATTTCTTTTTAAAATTTTCATGTGCAGGTAGGAGTTTTAATTTTAATAATAATTGTTATTTGGTTAGATTTTTGTATATTTTTCTGGTAATTATACATATAATAATTAATAGTTACGTCTTAATTTGAAATTAGTTGGAGTTAGTTAAATGATTGATTTGTATCTATTCTACTCAGCTCAAGCACTGTATATTATTCCAGCATTAAGCAATTATACCAATTTTGTTGTTGAAATAAAATATCTTGAAAAACACTATAAATGCAACAATAACTGAACTTTAATACATTAGTTGATGCTATATTTTGACTTCAATTTTATCTTGTACGTGGTTTTCTAATTCCAATGTTGAACTATGAATGTTTTGGTACAAATTAACAGTGAAAATGCACGTCCTCTTTATATCGCAATGTTTTTTGGATTCGTGTGGTAAAACAACATGTTTAGAAGGAATACTTGCCAAATTTGGCCGTTGCAACTTCTGTTAGTATGCAAC